CCAGGTTCGACCAAATCCACTCGCGGGCGTCTAGGACAAAAAATTCTTGTCGGACCCAGTTCAGAATTAACACATCCCAAATGGATCGCGCATGAACACAATCACGTAGCACGTGGGAAGTCGACTCGGGCTGACCACAAAAGCAACATGCAGCATCTCCAGCGATATGTCTACGAACCCTCTCCTTGTTTGTGAACAGCCGATCCTGACTTGCCAGCCACAGGAAATGGCGCACTCTTTGCTTTGTCGGCACGCGCCATATGGTTCTCCACAGGGGGCGGAAGGGATCCGTGACCACTCGCGTCAAAGCCTCGTAGGTCGTCTTCGTCGAAAACACTCCGTTCGGCGTATATCCCCATACCAGGCGATCCGACCTTGCCGAAGAAGACGGTGGTAGTACCGCCGCAATCAACAACAGTGAGGTGGTCGGTAGAAAAAGCTCGAATTTCGCCCACCACCATTCACCCACCTCCGTGACAAAATCCGCCACCGGGGCCTGAATGATTTTCGCCGGTATCTGCTCGATCGCCACTGTGGTTAACGGGTCCGATGCATTCATCCACAGGTCTAACCAGAATCGAGCTTGATGTCCATTCCCCAAAGCCCAACGTGCACCCCTCCTGACATGCAACCAAACCATTGCCACGACTCTTAGACAGACCGACCCATTAGGGAACTTGAAATCGCATGTCATCTCCTACGGATGCAATTTATACTTGGCGCACATAACCGGACCCAAAGCGTACATTGTCCACCCTAACTTCATTAATAGAGCCTCGATCATGAACTTCGACTGCTTAAGCCCGAGTCCACCTACTACAGTTTCAATGGAAATTTCAGTGTAATTTTTTTGTTGTAATTTTCCAATATAATAAATTCTCCATTTGAACGAGTTTTTCGTTAAAATTCTCGTTGGATTTAGGCGATTTCAACGAATGAAATATGGTTGGGACGAAAATTCGAATAGAAATTCTTACCGTAACAAATTTTTGAAATCAGCAAAGTTCAACTAAAATTCTAATGAAAAACTAATTTCAGCGAAATATTTTTATTGGAACTTTTGTTGTAATTATTTCAACATAAATTAACCAGGTCCGATTTGAAGGACCCAGACAAATTTTTTCGTTTTCAAACTTTCCGATTTGAATTTGCGTGGTAATTAGAACCATCTTTAAATAGAATAATAGAATAAAGGAAACCTAATTCAACTAAACACATCAAATAAATAAATAATTAATTAATTAGAAAAGAAAAGCTTTTTCTTGTTTTTCATCAAACCAAAAATATATTCTGGAACTAATAAATTACCTCTGGGTAATACATAGATCTTTGATAAATTATATTCAAGCAGTCACGAAGACACCAAACAGAAGAAAATAAAAAACCATAATATTTGTTCTCATACACTTGTTCAGATGGAAAATCATAAGGAAACATCCTCCCTATATATAATTCCCGAATGCGTTGAGCCTACGTGGCTGCTTCTGGTGTTTCGGAATCCTATTTGGCGAAGAATCATGCTTCGTAATTAGGTTTGGATAAATAATATTGATATATTAATAATTAATAATCTAGGTTCGGGTATTCCATAAATATTATTTAGCTAACTTAGGTATTTTAATATCACTTTTACTAATACAACCCTTTAATTCTTTGTAATTTTACATAGTGTGGCACTAAGTGACTTATATATCCTTGAATTTTGATTTGTTTCCTTCAATAAGCCATTGAATTATAAATGTATTTTAAAGTTGATAATTTTTGTATTTCTTATCGGTTTTACATATATAATATATCAAATTAATCATCTTTTAATGATCTTCGATTTGACATCCATATTGTATATATGAAATAAATAAATTATATTTATTTTTATAATAATAAAAAATAATAATATTTATTAAAATTCATTAGGAAAATAAAATTATTTCTCAATTGATATATTTATATGTAATGTAGTTATATATTGTAAGTTAAAAAAAATTAGTAAAATATAACACAAGTAAGTTGCACAAATAAAAAGTGTCATAATAAATATATAATAATATATTTATTCTTATAAAATGTATTTAAATTTTCAAACTACTTTTTCTCATTAATTTTAGATTTTAAGAAAAAAAAAATTAGCAAGCACCCGTGTAATACATGGGTGTTGTACTAGTTATAATATAACGGTACATATCTAGCTCCTATACGCACATTATATAATAATATAACGGTCATATATATTTTTTTGCAGCATAAAGTTCTCAGTTAATTGACAATTAGTTACACAATATTATATCATACTGAAAAATCGTTTTAAGAAATTATTTTCACATTTTCTGACCTAAAACGGAAATAATGTGCCTTCACCCACGGTGGACACATGTTAATATACTCACCGTTTATGTGTGAGCGATGAACATATTAACATGTGCCCACTGTAGATAGAGGAGCATTACTGCCTAAAACGGTCTTACAATATATAATATTTGAACGAATAAAGAATACGCGTAAAAACACTATTTAAATAAATATAGTGACATTTCCTCGTTATTAATCTTAATTTATTGATTGAAATTAAATACTAGTATGATATATTGTCAATGTTGATTCAAAATTAATGCTGTTTTATTCTGTAGTACAACCTGTCTTCTTGCCAAACAACTTTATTGATTGGATTCATATTACCCAATTGTGACTCAAACAAAATGCTTTAAAGAAGACCTGAAAACAATTTTTATTTTTTTTCTTCATTAATTAATAAAAAAAAAAAAATAGATAGAAAAAACGGAAAATACAACAATCTTTAATAAATCTTTCAATAAAAGAATGTAAATGGATTTTATTGTCAATCAGTGTTCTATACACTATAAGTCGCTAAACGCCCGTTAGGCGTTTGACCAGTGCCTAGCGTCTAGGCGGGGCCTAGAAATTAAGATTAAATACCTTAATTTTTTATTTATTTTTACTACTTACAAAATAAAACTATCTCAACTTATAATAAATCAACAACCCTAAATCCAAATAATAATATTAGTATATTATAAAGAAAAAATAATAACACAATAATGTAATTAATATTAAAAAAAATAAAATAAAAAAGTTGAAAAATTTCTGCCGAGCCCGACTAGGAGCGCCTAAGTCCGCCTAGGCGTCTGACCGATTTATGCAAATCGGAGGCGACGAACACCGCCTAGGTCGATTTTTAGAACAGAGGTCAATCATGTTGGAAAAATCAGTTATAAAATATGGGTTTGACCCGATTTTGACTGAATTGTTG